ACCCTCTGGCCCTGGAGTGGCTTCTCCTGCTCCTGCCTCCCCAGTCGGGCCCTCTGCTTGGCAAGGACACAGCTGGCCAGCCCTCAGGTGCGAGCCGGGCACTGTGGACCGTGGGAGCCATCCTGGGAGTCCATGTACCCCTGTGTGTGGCTCCGGTCCGGTCATTAGCAGAGCGTGGGCCAGAAGACCTTCCCAGTGCACGTCCCAGTCCCCGTGGCCCTCACCACTAATGAGCCAACCTTTCAGTAACTTGTCATCGAAAAGCAGGAACAGGCCGTGCAGCTCCGGTGACAGAGGCACAGGTAGCAGACGGCCAGGTCACGGGGCTCTGGGTTTCTAGTGGAGGCCAGGTCAGGGGCCTCACAGGGGCCCGGGGCCACCGTCACACCCCTCTACCACAGCCAGCTGGCACACACGGTGCCTCTGAGTCACCAGCAGGAGATGAGTGGCTGTCCCCCAGCAGAGAGGCACAGGGGTGAGGACAGCACTGCCAGCCTGCAGCCGAGTCTGTCAGGAAGCTGAGCAGAAGCAGTGGCTGAAGGTGCCACGTGTCGTCCGCCCACGTACACAGTGGCGTCTGGGGGGATTCCACGCAGGAAGCTCCAGGACGGATCGGAGCGGGGACGTCACCCAGGCCCAGCCCGGGAGCTTCTGTAGGCTTGGAGTCAGTAAATAGGCATAAGGGGTTGGCACGGGACAAGGGTTTGAGGAGATCGCTGTGAAGTGTCCGTCAGGGAGCCACGCTGGGACCACGTGAAGCAGACCGCAGGACGCGCCGTCAAGAGAGGCCTCACCTGCGCGCAGAGGACAGCACCCTCCTGGGCAGCAGCATGGACACTGGCCCTGGGTGTGAGGCCTGCCCAGTGGTGTCTGGGGGTGCAGTGTAGGATCCCCCAGGGCCAGCTGTGGAGTCGTGTGCCCAATGGCTAAGGCTGGCCAAGGCACAGACTGCACAGTGAAGCATGTCCTCAGGGGCCCGGGGCCCGGCTCAGACTGTGCACGGGGACTGCTAGTTAGATCTGCAGAGTGCTGGGCAGGCAGTGTGTTCCTGAGTGTTGTCAGCCCCTCCTCGTTCCCCTCCCTTGAAAATCAGGTGTCTTCCCCACGCACAGATGCCCATTTCCGGGTGGTCAGGGCCATGTTTTCGAGGGGTAAGGAGGATCTAGCAGGCGGGCCCCCAGGTGGTGCACATTATGGGGAGGGTGGAGGGTGCTCTGTCCAATCCAGGGGCACCCCTCCATCTCCCTCTCCCAGGCAGCTCTGAGGGGTTGTGAGTGACCCTGGCCCTGAGCACAAGCCACTGCTCACGTCCTGAAGCGGGGTCCCCTGAGCCTGTCCAGGGCAGTCCTGGACGCCCTGAGCACCGCCCCTGTTGCAGGTGAGGGCCACGGCGCGGGAGCTGTTCCAGCAGGTGTGCGGCGTGCTGGGCCTCCGGGAGGCCCGCTTCTTCGGCCTCAGCGTGGTCAGAGGTGAGCAGTGCTCCTGCCCCCACCTTCAGGGCCTCCTGCCTCCCACCCCACCCCGTTGTTGCTGGGCTTCCGGGGTCAGGCTCTGGGCGGACTACCACAGACAGGGTGTTGGGGTGTGTCAGTGTGTGTAGTGTGTGCACGTGTGCTGCAAAGTGGGTGGTCGGTAGTGTGCAGTGTTCTGAGAGTGTGCGGTGTGAGGTGTGTCTGTGCGTGGCCTGTGGCGTGTGCACGTGTGGTGTGTCCATGCATGGCCTGTGGTGTGTGCTCGTGTGGTGTGGTCGTGCGTGGCCTGAGGTGTGTGCATGTGTAATGTGTAAGCCTGTGGTCTAAGGTGTGTGGTGCTCACATGTGTGTGTGATGTGTACATTTCTGTGCACCAGCACATGCGGATGACAGGCACAGCTGCCCGCTCAGCCTGCTGGGCTCTGTCATGTGGGGAGTGTGACAGTTACGGGGCCAAGGCAGGTGCCTGTGCAGACGCAGCCTGATTTCAAGGACCTGAGGATGGGGCCTGGGAGTGCTGGGCGGGTCCCCAGGAAGGAGGTGGGCCAGTCACGGTGGGCAGGGGAACACCCTCCATGCTGTAGGACGGGGTGCTTCTCCCTGGTGGCCCAGAGGTGCTCAGCTTCCTGCTGGTTAGAGACTCCCCAGGTCTTAAAGCGAAGAGTGAATCAAAGCCCTGGTGATACCGCGCCAGGCCCCAGGGCCGCCCCTGCAGGGGGCCAGAGCCCGCAGTGTGAACACAGCCAGCAGCTCAGGACCTTTGTCCTTCTGACTGAGGTCAAGGTCCATACCGGGAGCTGCCCACACCTTAGGACCAGCTCACAGGCCTTCAGCATGTGTGTATACCATGGAGCACACACCTGTGAGGTGGACGAGTCACGGGAGGCCCTCAGCCAGGTCAGCCCAGGTCGAGGCCTTGCAGCAGAACTGCCGAGGCTCCTGTGGGTGGGCACAGTGCCCACTGCGAGGATCCAGGTGCACACAGAGGGATTGTTGGGAGTGTCGCAGGGCAGGTAACCAGCTGGAAGGCAGCCACCTCCACCAGACCTGTCTTCCATCTCCTCTCCTGCTGGCCATCTGAGATGGCCTGCCATCAATCTTGCCAGCTCCAGGAGCAAGTGGGCAGGGCAGGTTAAGGAAGAAATTGGGGTTCCCTGCTCCCAGGTGAAGACAGGCTCTCCCTCCTGCACATGGGACCTGCTGAGGCCGAGGCTCCGGCCCGCTGAGCTTGTCCATCTTGGAGCTCAGCCCAGGGCCACTGGCACCCTTCATGGCCGGAGCCCTTACTTTGGAGCCTGGACTTTCTGAACAGGACCTTGGATTCCTGGCTTCAGTGCCTCAGGCATGGTGACTTGGGCACACTTTTGGTGACACAGCAAGGGACGGGACCTCCACCGGCAGCCGGGGCTTGGCAGTAGGGAAGGTGGGACACAGGCGGAGACAGGGCAGGCCCCACCTCCCTGGCCAGCAGGAATGCGTGGGTCAGCTCCTCAGTCCGCCCTGGTGGCTTTGGGTGTCCTGCCGTCTGCACTAGATAGAAGGCAAGGGCTCCACGCGGGAGGCCTGGGTCTTCCACTCCTTCAGAGGCATTGGTTGGACTCCAGGGCACCCTGGTGCGTCTGTGGCCTGAGAGGACAACTCTCCCTGGGCAGAGAGGTGGGCAGGTCCTCACTGCCGTTCCCAGTCACTGGGACATACCTCGCTCTTGGCTGCACTTCCTAAGTGTCCCAGTGTGCGGGATCACCAGTGGGACTGGGCTTCAGGGGGTGCGTGTGCAATACCCCTCGACAGGGCTCCATGGGACCCTTGGCCACAGGAGCAGGAGCTCCCAGAGGGTCCTGGGGCTTCTCCAGCCCTCCCTGCTGCCCAGATGGTGGGGAGTGGACAGGAAGTCACCAGGCCCTTGCCCTAGGTTCATCTGCAAGACCTCGGGTGCGGGGGTCTGTCCAGTCACCAGGGGCCAGAGGAGACCTCCCTTTGGGCCGAGTGAGCTGCAGGCTTGCTGCGGGCTCTCCTGCCTCAGGAGCTGGAGTCACACTCGGAGGGGCTTCAGGACTTGAGCGTCATTTTTTGGAGCAGGTTGAGGTGACAGCAAAACTGAGCAGAAGGAAAAGTATTTCTCCTGTATGTCCACCCACAGCGTCCACATCCCAGCAGGAACCCACAGGGACACATCCGTGTCACCCAGAGTCCACGGTGACATGAGGCTCACCCCTGGTGTCAGACACTGTGCAGTGCCCTCGGGGTCACCCAGCAGTGCCATGGCCCTGAAGCCCTCCCTACTCACCCCCACCACCACGGGTCCTCTGCTGAGTCCCTGCCCTGTCCCCAGTGCTGCCCCTCCAGACGGCTCTCCCTTGGTGACCAGCAGTCATGTCGGCACCACGCCCTCCACAGCTGGGGGCTGACTCCTTTCATCAGTGACTGACCCTCCGCTCTCTGGGTGTGCCACGGGCTTACCTAGTCACCTGCCAAAGGACATCGTGTACAAAGGACAGTTTGCTTCCTTCAAGCAAGAAAATAAGGCCTGACTCAGGAGATGACCTGGTCAGGGAGGCAGGGCTGTCTATCTTCCCAGAGAGCCAGGGACCGGGTCAGGGCTGGCCAGACTCAGGCCGTGGGGGGAAGCTGTGCCTCCGGGGGCTCAAGGAGGTCTCTGCTGGGACCTTCCAGGCCAAGAAAAGAATTTAAGATGCATCGGGCTCCGCACCGCGAAGAGCGTCACTGGACAGCGGAAGGCCGAGGTCGCTCAGAGCAGATGGGCTCTCGGCCGCCAGCCGGGCCGCAGGGTTCAAAGTCTGATGTGTTAGGGACAGAATTGGGAGAGATACACGTGACCCTGGTGGTTCCTGGGGTCCTCTCCCGCCTGTGTCCTCTCTGCCTCCCTCCCGGTGTCTTCGCATTGCTGTCCCTCTGCTCCATGTCCATGTCCCGATCCTGGTGGCTCACTTAAGCTGAGCAGTCCCTGAGGCCCGGGGGTCAGGGCTCTGACGTTGGGGGACACAGCTCCTGGCCCTGGTGAGCCTGGGAACTCAGCTGGACCCCAGCCCGCTGTCTGTCAGGTCCGTGGCGCCCTGGGGGGGACAGAGGCAGGCCAGGCAGAGTCAGGAGGCCTGGGCCCCCAGCCCTGGCCCCCGGGGAGCCTCCAGGCATCTCCAGACACACTCAGCCCTCTCTCCACCTGGGCAGGACTGCTGGTCCCAGTGCCATGTCCAGCCGGGTGTCTGAAGGTGGCAGCTGGACTGGGATGTGCTCAGTGGGCAGAACAGGTTAAAACTGCCCAGGACAGCTGGCGACACTGGTCTGCAGCACACGGACCTCGCCGTCGCCCAGCAGCTCCTCGGTGGCTCCCGGGGGACGTTTCCTCCCCAGTTCACTTGGAGCTGTGCACCTCAGGCCTTGGCACGGAGCCTGTGACGGTGGAGGGAGCCCCCAGCCTCCTCCTCCAGCTTCCCCAGGAAACCCACTGTCCTGCCCCAGGGTCACAGCAAGGCTTCCCTCAGCAGAAGCGTCCCCAGCACCCTCCCAGCCACTGGGCCCACGGTGCGCTTGGTTGGCATCTGTTGGCGTGGGCAGGTTAGGGGTCCCTCTTGTTCTGTGGCTGGGCCAGGGGCCTGGGGTGCAGGGAGGGTCTGCGGGCCCCACCGCTCATCCTCACGGGCAGGCTGTGAGTGCGCCAGCCCTCCCTGGGAAGGCCATGCAGGTAACCAGCAGCGGTTGACAGGGCTGTCCCCGCAGCCAGCCCCAGGGAGCAGCCCGCACCAGGTCAGCCAGCGGAGGAGCTGCCCAGGCTCGAGCCTCGGGAGTGAAGGCTGAGGAAGCCCTTCCTTTCTAGACAATGAGCACGTGTTCATGGACTTGGAGCTCCGGCTCAGCAAGTACTTCTCAGAGGACTGGAAGAGAGGGACTCAAGTAAGTGGGCTGCAGGCCAGGCTGAGCCCGGAGGCCTGCGGCAGGAGAGCGCCCAGGAGGGCCAGCTCCTCCCTGCTGGGGCCCCCGCCTCGTCTGGGCTTCTCTGGCAGGCACACTGCTGTCCCCACGTCCTCGGTCAGGCTCCCGGGTGCCACACCCCACTCGGCCCTTCTCCCCTTTAGAGTAGGATGAAATCCTGAGTGTCGCACGCAGCTCCTGAAACCCGGGGAAGGCCGGGCACAGGGAGATGCCCCAGGCCGCTCTTCCCCACCCTCTCCCAACAGGGGGGCTGGCGGCCCCGGGCGCCCTTCGTCACCTCCCTCCGAGTGCAGTACTACGTGGAGAACGGGAGGGTCATGAGGTAACTGCTCCTGGGGTCACAGGAGCCAGGCCGTCTGCGTGTGCCTCAGAACAGCCATGCTGGTGCCGAGAGGGGCCTGGCTGGGCCTTTACCTGAAGCATCTGTGCAGGCGTGGCAGGAGGGGTTCCCGGCACAGGGGCGGTGGCCTTCCTCAGATGGCCACCTCAGAGCTGGCAGGACAACCAGGAGGGCTGGGGCCCCTGAGAAGGCAGGTGGCCGCTGACCCCAGAGGGGGAGGGGGAGGGTGCAGGTTCTGGGGAGCCGGGAGGGGGCTGAGGGCAGTGCCCAACTGTATTAGAAGACCTAGGGGAGGCCCCCGGCAGCCCGCCTTGTCCTGCAGCTGTGGCCGGCTGACGGCACTGGGCAGTGGGCTCGGGGAACCGGGTTCGGTGCCGCTGCGCCTGAGCCCTCCGGCAGGCCCTTCCCTCCGGGTCCGGGCTGCTGAAGGCTGCAGCCAGGCCTGGCTGGGCCCTGCGGGGGCAGCAGCTCTCTGCTCACAGAGAAGGGTGCACCCGGCACTGCCCTGGGTCAGACAAGGCTGTGAACAGGGGAGGCTGGGTGCCCTGGACCAGGCTGGGGCGGGCGGCTGTGCAGACCCCACCCAGGTCCAGCCACTGGACCCCACCTGGCTCTGCTGCCTTCCAGCGACCAGGTGGCCCGGCACCTGTACTACTGCAGCCTGAAGGAGCGGGTGCTGCGGTCCCAGTGCGCGCACAGGGAGGAGGCCTACTTCCTGCTGGCCGCCCTCGCGCTGCAGGCCGACCTGGGCAGCCACCGCAAGCCGCCGCACATCGGGCGGTACTTCGAGCCGCAGGCCTATTTCCCACAGTGGGTGAGGACCCCTTGGCACCCTCCTGGGGGGTCACTGACACTGTCCCCAACAGGACTCTATGGGGTCCATGCAGAGGGGAGGCTGCAGAGCTGGGAGGGGCAGGGGGGGAACCTGGGAGAGCCCAAGGCAGGCGTGTGGCCACGTGGACCAGTGCCAGGGCAGACTCCGGTGCTCCTGCGCACACTCGGCCAGCTGTGCGACCTGGAGCCAGTGGCTCTCCTCCTCTGAGCCGCTGGGCCTGCCCAGCTGTGAAGAACAGCCCACCTGCCCCTTCTCTCCAGTATCCCGGGCCCTTTAGGGGCCACTCACGCCCGTGCTTCAGCCCTTCGGTGCCCTGGAGGAGGGGGGTCAGGGAGCAGAGGAGTCCACCTTGTGTTCCCCGCCCCGGGCACTGTGCCAGGCTTCGTGGGGGCACTGGGCACTGGGTTGTCCTTCCAGGGACAGTGGCCCCTGCCCTGGGCAGAGTCCTAGTTTCCCTCCCTGTGGGCGTGTCCTTGTTCCTTGGCTGCCCCAAGCAGCTGGAAACTGTCCGCTCTGCACACTGGTCACTGTGCCCAGGGCTGGGTCCAGTCCTCAGGTACCCCATCCCTCTGGACACGGCTGGCCCTCCTCAGATGCACAGACGTAGCCTCCTCCTGGGCCGCTGGGAGCCGTACGGGAGTCGTGGCTTGTTGGGCGCACACTGCCACCTGGAATCAGCTTGTTTCTGGGTCTCTGTGGTGGGCACTGGGGGGCCCAGAAAGAGAGGGGCTTTCCTTGGGTGCTTTGGGGAACTCCACACACTCCCCTCTGTGTCCCCAGCTTGGACAGCAGGCCCGGTCCTCCCGCTGGACGGCTGCAGCTGGGGAGGTCCTCTGCAACGGCAGGAGGCTGGGAGGCTTCCCAAGGAGGAGGCCAACTCGGGGGAGGGGAGGGAAGGAGGGGTGGAGCTGACCTGGGCCGGTCCTCAGGTCATTGCCAAGAGGGGTGTGGACTACATCCTCCGGCACGTGCCCACCGTGCACCGCGAGCAGCAGGAGCTGAGCCCGCAGGCAGCTGTGCTGAGGTTCATCAGGGACGCCTGTCAGCTGGAGGACGTGCCTGTCCACTTCTTCAGGCTGTACAAGGTTGAGCCCAGAGCTCCGGGGCCAGGACAGGGGAGGGACAGAGCCCCCGTGCTGACAGCGTGCTGGGACCCTAGGACAGGGCAGGCAGAGTCCCCTGCAGGGGACGCTGTAACCTGAATCCCAGAGCAGAGCTGGACAAAGTCCCCACAGGTGACCATGTGACCAACCATCCTGGGGACAGAGGTCCTCAGGACAGCTGGAGTGGTGTGGGAGGGAATGTGTTCCCTGGTGGCTGTCCCGAGGTGGAGTGCAGAGCTTCCGCAGGGCTCCAGCGAACCCCAAGGGACTGGGGACCCGAGCCTGCTGGCTCAGCCACGGCTGCTCTGACTTGGGTCTAGTGCTGGGGCCTCGGGCCTGGTCTCTGTGTCCACCCAGCCAGGCACACAAGTGACACAGCGCTCAGTCTTCGCGGAGAGGACTGGGTGGAGGTTTCTTGGGGCAGGTTGAGGGGTTCAGACACGTTTGGGGAATGGAGACTGAGGCAGTGCCTGGGCAATTGGCAGGGACAGCTCCAGCACACAGAGGGCCCGGGAGGGTCCAGGACAGAGGTGGGTGGGGCATGGTGGTCTCTGGCTTCTCACCACCCCAGGCCCAGGGCCTCCACCCCTTGCTCCTTTCAGGATAAGAAGCGTGAGCACCCCACCTTCCTCCTGGGACTCACCCTCAAGGGAATGCATATCTATCAGGTGAGAGAGGGACTCGCCCCTCCCTGGAGGCCCGCCCTGGCCGCCCTCCTGGATCAGTGCTCTGTCTTGCAGGAGGTGAGCCACGCTCCGCAGCTGCTGCATGACTTGCCCTGGCCCTGCATCAGGAAGCTGGCCTTTCTGGTGGGTGTCTGCAAGGGCCCTCAACACTAGAGGCCCGGGGCAGGTGCATCTCCGTCCTTCGGGGCAGGTGCAGGCTCCCTTCCTCCTGGCCCCCGACAGCCCCCGGAGCTCTGCACATGCTCACCCTCGCAGCTGTGCTGGCATGGCCCTGCGGGGACTGGGCGAGTGGCCATGATGTGGAGGGAGGTCCTGATGCCCTTCTCATTCCATGTGACTGCTGGCTCCCGAGTGGGTCCTAGCGGCACACCTGTGCCGCATCTGCCCCTCTCATCCGGCCCCAGAGCTGTCACCCTGGGCCCCCTGTGACTGTGAGAGTGAGGGCCACTGGTAGAATGGACAGGGAGACTCAGCCCTTTGGGTCCCACCCTGGACACTTGCACCCTCCCCCAGCCAAGGCAGGGGTCTGCATAGAGGGCCGCCTTCTCAAGGCTGAGGTCACACAGCCTCCTGATCACAGTGACCACAGAGATCCGTTTGCTCACGGAAGACGAATCTTTAAAGGGGACCTTGGCCATCGCCTTAGAGGGCCCTGTGATCTTTCCTGTGGCTGGAAGGGTTTTTCAGCGTCTAAAGCCACATCTCTTGTCCCTTCTGTCTACTCAGGGAAAGAAGCTGGAGATCCAGCCCGCTGGGCTGCCCGCATCCCGGAAGCTGGTTTTCTACACGGGTTTTCCCTGGCGCTCCCGGCACCTGCTCCGGCTGCTCCGCTCCAGCCACCAGTTCTACCTCAGTGTGAAGCCCCTGCTGCAGCGGCTGCAGCTGCTGGATGAGGCTGAAGGTGGGCACCTCCCCGCGGGGGTCTGGGCACCTAGCAGATAGCTGCTCACCCCTCTGAGGGGTGGAGATGAAGCAGATTGTCCCTAGAACTTGCCCAGGACCTGGTCACCCACTCTGGGCTCAGCAAAAGGGTTCTCCCGTAATGGCCAGTGGCCTCTCAGCTCCTGTCCCCCAGACGCTCCGGGTGAAGGGTGGTGGTGACCTGAGCAGGAGCCTAGAGATGGGGGTGGGGTGCGGGCAAGGTGAGGGCTGCTCAGCTCTGCCCGGGCTCCGGAAGCCCCCTTTCCGACTCCTCACTTCGTCCCTTGTGCAGAATCAAGGCCACGTGAAGACCTGGCTGCAGTGCTGTGCCAGGCCTGGTCTCACTCTCCCAGTCTTCACCTGGGGGCTGTTCTGTGTCCTTAGAGAGCACCGGGAGACAGTCACGTGTGCACACTGCAGTCACAGAGCATGGGTGGGCGTGTGTGTGAGCATGTGTGTGAGCACGTGTGTCTGCATAGGGGGGTGAGCTTGCACAGATGTGTTTGTCCCTGTGTAAGGAGGCAGTCCTAGGGGACACCTGCCCTCAGAACAGGCTGACAGTCTGTCCTCTCCCACCCAGCCCTGTCCTGGGTGGCGGTGACATCAGGGATGCTCAGGACAAGCCTGTAGCCTGAGATAGCGCGAAAGCTCCGGGAAGAGCCTTATGGGGCGTGTCCCCGGGGCCAGGCCTTCCTCCACGCCTGGGCTCCGCCTGCCTCCAAACCCAGCTCTACGTCTGTCCCCCACGCCCTGCAGAGAAGAAGCGCTACCAGGAGGCCTACATCAGCGACCCGCTGGAACTGGACCCAGAGCTGGCCAGCAGGCACAGGAGGGACACTGGCCCGCCCCACCACCGCCGCCTCTCGCTCAGCTCTGCTGACAGCCACGGCAGTGCCCACACACTGGGCACAGAGGCCGACTCTCAGCATGCAGAATCTGGGGAGGTGTCTGTGGATGAGCCCGTAGCGGCCGAGGGCCTCTGCAGCAGGAAGATGCCGTCCATCAGCTTCAGGGACAGCGGGGGCAGCAAAGGTGGGCTGAGAAGAATGAGGTAGCAAAGAGCCTGGCCTGCCCCAAGTGCCAGACTGCTGGGAGAGGCCAGGCTGCGTGTCACAGAGACTCTCTGGGAACATGCCCGAATGTACCACCCAGGGTCACCTGGTGTCACCTAAGGCCAACCAGAGTCATCTGAGGTGGCCCAGGGTCGGCAGATCTGTCACTAACCAGTGTCCACTGCTGGGCTTCACCTCTGATGTCTGGACTAAGTTTTGGTCTAGACCCAGTAGAAGTGACCACAGGCCCCCCCCCCCCCGGCCTGGAGAAGTCTGTTCTGTCTGACATTGGAGCAGACAAGGCCACAGGACAGGGAGGGCTCCTGGGGAGAAGTGGCACCACGACCCAGGCCTGGCTTCTCCCCAGCCTCCACACAGACGTGCCCTGGGCAGGCTGGCGCCCGGCTCTGTGGGGAGGTCCTGGGCCTCCTGGCCTGCTCACCTTCCTCTCCTGATGGAGCCCGGTGGGGCAAGCAGAGGGGTCCTGTGTCAGGCGGAACCCGATGCCCCGGGCTCTCTGGGACACACAGGACCACCTCGCCTGCTGGCCACGAGGAGTCGGGGCTCCGGGACACAGCACTGGGGCAGGCGGCTGCAGGACGGGCCCTGCCAGCCCCCACTCAGGCCCTTCCTCCTCCTCAGCCTCCTGCTCCGAGCCCTTCACAGTGGTGCAGGTCCCGCTGGCCGGGACCAGAGGCCAGAGCACCGAGGTCCTACACAAGGTAGGGCCCCCTAGGTCCAGGTTGGGCAGTGTGGCCTGCATGTGACCCATGTGTGGCCCACAGGTGGCCATGTATGACTGTCCCCATTCTTCCCTCCATCCCCCTCTGCCACGTGTGGGATCTCTGTGGGACAGCCCTCGGTTGGGCCCACCACCCCTGATTGCCGCAGCAGAGGCCAGCCAGGGGCTGTGTGATGGGGCAGAGGACCTGGCGGTGGAGGGTGGTGGGGTGGGGAGGCGCAGCAGGGTTGAAGCAGAGCTGCTGCTGCTGGGGTCAGGGGCCTGGAGCGCCTGGAGCAGCGCACCCCCAGCAGGGGCAGGTGGGGGCCATGCCAGGCAGTGGGAGCCCTGCAGGGGTCCAGTCCTCCTGCCAGAGGCAGAGCACACCCAGCAGGGAGCACAGGCTTGTGACAGCAGCTGGGCTGGCACCCGCTGCTGAGTACAGAGCGGTGGGTGGCTTCTCCCTGCAGGTCCGGGAGGCGGAGCCCAGCGCCAGGGAGGCCCTGCACGGCCGCAGCCTGGACCACATGCATCAGCTCCAGCCAGCCCCTCGCCCTGCACCTGCCTCTCACACCTGTGCCTTCAGCTGCGCCCTGGCAGGGCTGCTGGTGCCCCAGGAGGCCAGGGCTGCCCTCTGTGGCAAGAGGTCCATGAACTGTCTCTCCCTGGACCTGCTCAGGGAGGGCGCGTCCTTGCAGGAGTTTGTGGTGTAGACCCTGTCCACAGGTGCCTCCGTCTGCGACTGCCAGCCTGAGGGTGGCCAGCCCGGGGCAGGGCGGTCTTGGCCCTTGCCTCTTCTATCTTCCAACGCCCACTTCCTGGCCAGCTTTCAAAGGTCTCCCCCTGTGGGAGGTGTGAAGCCAGCTCGGACATCAGCCCAGGGTGACGGAGGTCCTCCTCGTGCCTGTCTGTGGCCCATAAGTTCCTTCCCCGAATGATAAGTCAGGGTCTGGACATCCAGCGTCCAGGAGAGCCAGGAGTCAGTGGTGTTGACCCTGGGGCAGCGCAGCAGCCTATGTGAAGGGTGTCTGGCCAGCCTCAGGCCCTGGGGGAGCCTGGCCTCCTGCACTTACACTGCCCGCTCAGGCCCTAAACCCAAAGCTGCAGCTCACGGTTGCACCACTGCGCCATGGCCTCTCCTGGACCTTGCTTTTTGTGATTCTGCTCAGAAGTTGAGGGTCCTGCAGATGCAGGCCTCTCCTGCACTCTGGGCCCAGCTGTCTCCCAGGCCCACTCAGAGACCCTGTCACCTCCTGCACAGACACACCATCAGGTAGACCCTGCCCTGAGGCTGAGGCCCCTCCTGCCCCAGGCCTGCTCTCTTCCGAGACATCCCAGCCTGGCCCAGGAGTGCTGTGGGCCATGGCCCTGCTGCTGGCAGGGAAGGTGCCTTGGTTGGGGCTGCTCCTCTGCCTCATCTGCCTGCCACCACAGTGGCCCCGGCCTTCCTCCCAGGAGGCTCCAGGGGCTGCAGGCAGGTGGACCCCACGGGTAATTCCGTCTCAGTGCCTTCGGTGCCTGAAAAGCCCAGAGCGGGGGTTCATTATTGTGGACTCTACACAGGGGCCTGCCAGCATCCTGCTGTCCTGTTTACTTGGACATGTGGACTTGTGTGTCTGTTGGCTAAGCCCTAGGTGGTCACTGGGAGCCACAGCAGTAAAGAACCAAGCACACCCAGAGCCTGGGTTCGTCCTCTCCTGGGGGCTGGGACCAGGCGTGACAGTTCTGCAGTGAGTACCCTCGGGGACCTCTGTCCAGCTGAAGCCTTAGGACAGTGTGACGTGCAGGGAAAGGCCCGCCCAGAGATCCATGTGCAGCTGGGGACTGTGGTGGGAAAGGCACCGGAGCTGTGAGGACAGTGGCCAGGCCTCACACGCTGGCACAGCTGCCTTCCCCAATGGGATGAGAAGGGGTAGAGAAGGGGTTCGCCTGGCCTGGGGAGGGTCAGACCAGCTCCCTTCAGAGACGCTTGAGGAGCGAAAGCCCAGCCCACGTAGGGCAGGTACGTGCCCACGGAGGGAGCGGGCGTGGTGAGGGCCTGGACAGGATCCTGCCCACACAAAGATGTCCTCACATGTGCACACGCACCCCACGGGCATCCCACCCCACGGGCATGCGGAGGACGAGGCAAGCGAGGCTCTCACATGGGGTCAGGCGAGCTCCCAGCCACCGGCCTCGACTTCCCCGCACGCACTGCAAGTGTTCCCGGGGAAGTCCCCCCAGCACGGCACCCCACAGCCGAGTGGAGCAGCATGGCTGAGGGCACCCTGAGGTCCCTCTGCTCCTCAAGGACTTGCCTGGCCCCCAGCACACCAGCCGGGGCCTGGGCTCCCGTTCACCGACAGGGACGGCATGGCCACTGCGTCTCTTCTTCCCTGGCTGCTGGGGTCGAGGGTTGACCTGTCAGGCCTGGGTCTCACAGCATCATCAGTGTCACCGTCACCACCAGGGCTCCCATGGGGCCCTGAGTCCTCTGCTGAGGGTGAGCAGGCACCATGTGCCATGAGGCCATGGCTGAGGGTGGGGACCCAATGCCTGCTGTGAGGACAGTGGCCAGGGTGACCTGTCCAGCCCCCACCCATGGTGGGGTTACCTTTTTGTTCTGGCTACTTCTCCTCGTGTCTGGGATGGGCCAGAGCCCCAGCTGGTCTCTGCCAGCCCTCCCAGAGCCGGTCACAGCCTCTCTTCAAGACGTCCCCTGCCAGTCCCCTTGGCCCTGCCCTGTGTGTCCTGACTTCTCAGCACAGCTGTGGGCAGCAGCAGAAGGTCACAGGGAGGCCGGGACCTGCACCCTGTCCTTCCAGATGGGAGGCAGAGGGGGCTGCTGGCTGACCCAAGAACCCACTTGGGCCCTGTGGGCCTTCTATTTCTGTCCTTCCTCTGGGCCTGGGCCCATGGAGAGTTGAGCCAAGTGACCTCAACCACCAGGCAGCCCTGCTGCGGCTGCCACCTCTGGTCTGTGAGGTGGGTGGAGAGGACACTTAGAGGTCGACGGGTCAGCCCCAGGCCAGGGTCTCACGTCCTCCCTCACCCAGAGGCAGCGTGGCCCCTCCGCACTCTGACTCCTAGCTGGCACACTCACTTCTTGGGGAGCAGAGCCTGTTCTTGTGTTCCTGTCCTCTGTGCCCTGGTCAGCACCCCCATCGGAGGATGGAGACTGCCAGCTGGAGTCCAGCCCTTCTGGGACAGCCTGCGCAGCTCCATGACAGTGCAGCCTGGACGGCTGCTCTGTGGCTGGAGACAGGAGGAGCCGGGCCTCCGGTGCCTTCCAGGGTCCTCCATGCCAAGCAGCAGGGCTCAGGCAGCAGCACGTGCAGCAGCCCCGAGGCAGGTTAAGCCGTGGGCTCAGCAATGTGCGCACGCAGTTACAGCTTCATAGAATGTGCAGGCGACTTTGCAGCTGTGGGGGGCTGGGACCCCATCCTTTTCCACTGGGCACCACCGCCCTCCTCATCATGGCTGACCACACGGGGCCTGAGGCATGCAGGGGGCTGGTGCAGCCCTGGGGCCACACACAGCTGCAGACCATCTAACTCGGGCCTGGCGGGAGGCATCCGGGGCTCAGGCCAGGTTGCAGGGGTGGTGAACTTCTGGGACTGGACAGCACAGGGCAGAGGCCATGTCACAGGGTGGGCATGTCCTCCCCAAAGCAGAGCACCAGGGAGCCGCAGAAACACCTCCCAATCCCACAGCCCCTTTCTCAGCCCTGGGTCCTCATCATGTCACCAGTTACCCGGCGCAGGGGACATGCCTCAGGCTCACTGCTGGGAGCTGGCCTGCCAAGCCAGGAGAGCCACGTGGTTCAGAGCGTGGTTCACAGGACCGGCTGCAAAGGCCCCGGGCTGTGTGTGGCTTGTTACTCAGGCAACCAGTTCATAAAAGTGCTGACTCGGAATCTTGGGATTATTAGTGTTATTTTCCAGGTTTTGAAAGTTGGGATTGGATGGTTTTTAATTTTTCTCTGAACTTCCTTCAGACCTACTTCAGATTTCCCAGCCTTAATTCTTTCCTCCTGGCAGAGGGTGCCCATGACCACCTGGAGGTTGCCGGCCTCAGAGTCAGGCTCAAGCTGGGGATGCTGGTGTCAGACCCTCTGGTCACAGGGCTGACTCCCAGGGACCTGTGTCGTGCCCAGCTCTAGGCTCACAGCCCTCCTGCTGGCGAATGGAGGCCCCTGGCTGCCGGACAGGCCTCAGACTGGAGCTCCTTTGGGCTCCTCACCTGCCCAAGCCTCCATGGCCCCCATGGCTTGCCACTTCCCCAGCAGCCCTTGGCCTGAGTGCTGGCCTGCACCTAACACTGCCCGTGCCCGACTCCTGTGGACCTGCTGGGGCTGCTGGCAGCATGTGGCTTCTCCCATCTGCCCTTTGCTGCTGTCACCATGTGCACCTCAAGTAGGCAGCCAAGGTTCAGGCTCAGTAGAAACTGGAGTCACCATCACAGAGCATCTGGGACCACGGGCAGTGCCCCGAACGGTATGATCTCCCTGGTGCTGGGGCCTGCTCTTCTGGGTGCCAGAGGCTGCGAGGCCTGAGTGGTGCTGGAGCAGGAGGAAGAGGCCCTCTGGAGCATGCAGGGCCAGCTGACTCCCAGGCTGACCTCGGCCACCCACAAGGGACTCAGGATGGGCACCACTCTGGGAGGTGTGATGGGGTTGGGCCCAGACCAATCCCCATTGTGGAGACAGGTCCATGGAGCGATGCCCAGAGACAGGGCCCTGGAGGTCGGTGGCCACCTGGCTGCAGCCTCGCCTGGCACATGGCTTCTCATGAGAGGTGGCCTGCAGGCACCTGGTCTCTGGGGAGGCTCCTGTCATGCAGTCTCAGCTTGGCTCCTGCAGCCAATCACGGGCACAGAAATTGTTCAGGCAGAGACACGTCTGGGGTCTGGACACCCAGGCCCAAGGCCCAGGCCAACTGGACCCTGGTCAAGGACCTCTTCCTGCTTGCCATGGCCTCACGCAGTAGAAGGGGTGAGGACCCCTGGGACCTCTGATAACATCATTAATCCTGTCGTGGCCCTCTACCCCTAACCCAGTCACCTGCCAAACCCCAGCCTCCCAGCCCTCGTCACCTTGGCAAGAAGAGCTCTGGGGACACATTTTACCTGCAGCTTGTGGAATGACCGACTATTTTTGCACTTGGGGGCAGGACACGCCTGGGGGAATGTGGCTCTCCCGCCCAGCTCTGCAGTCTCCCAGGGCAGGAGCTTTGTGTGTCCACTATGGCATCTCCAGTGCCCAGAACACAGCTGGACATGAAGTAGGCATCCAGGGAATGGATGTGTGCTGACCGTGTGGCTCTTGACACACCAGAGCTGGGGCCGAGGCTGGAGGCTGGCAGTGGGACAAAGCCCTGCCAAGGCACAGCGCAGTCCGACGCCAACTTGCCCGACCACATGCCCACTCTAGCTCCCCCCTGGGCCGCGCGCACTAAGGCCGTCTCACCCAGCTCACTGGATACTGCAGCAGACACCACGTGTCCTGGAGGAAGGGGACACGATGAGGCAGTGGTCAGCTGGGACTCGTCCTGAGCAGACAGCTTGCTGGCACCCCCAGTGACATGGGGGGGGGGCAGAATCCATTTCCTCTTTCTCCCCAAGACAGCGCGTCCCTTTCTGCTGACAAGGCAGGGCTGGAGCCTGGCTCTGTCTTACCCTGCCAGCCGCAGAACACACAGGCACACGGCCTCCTTGAGGGTCACTGGCCCCTGGCTTCAACCCTGTGCTGACAAAGCCCTGTCCACCCCTCCAGGTTGGCAGTTTTCCTCTGGCTCTTAGGCCTGCCGTCCCACACACTCTGTGTTGTGGGAATCATCCTCACAGGCCTGGGCATGAGATAGAATGGGGTGACCACAAGGGGACAGCACAGCACCCACACACTCAGCCCCAGTGTCGCTGACCTCCTCCACACTCCGCTCAGAGCCAGGTCCTCAGGGAACCCCCCCAGCAGAGGCTCTGGACCCCTCTCTGCCCTGACCCCCACGTCCTGTCCTCGCTGTCACTCAGTGGTCAGGAAGTCTCTGCCTCCCCTCATGGTCCACCCCTCAACGCAGCCGTCACGTGCTTCTTAAGCTGCTGCTGAATCCTTTTCTTCCAACAAATCGGCATAAAGCTTCTTTAAAACCAGGGACCTCAGACCCCCTACAGGTTTGAAGAGAGTGGGGTGCAACTCCGGCCTTGCATGAAGGAGCTCCCGGAGGGCCCACAGGGGGTCAGAGCTGAGGGTCAGCCTCTGGCCATGTTACGTTCCCCTGGGCAGGCTATCTTTGGGATGTGTGCCACTCTGTTGCCACCCAGAACGGGGCTCCTTGCCCTCCCGGAGATGTTTGGGGATCCACACTGTACCCCAGCTTTCCTGTGCTGCCCAAATCACTGCTGGGCACTGAGTCATCTGCGGTAGCAGATCCAGAGAGGCCTGGGCCTCCCTGTCTGAGGACTGACACCCACGTCCTGTGCACACTCCATATTCAGTGTTGAGCAGGGTCTGCACTGACCCAGATCCAGTTCAGCCTTGCACCAGCCCCGAGAGCCTCCCACCTGAAGTCAGGCCTGTCGGGGTCAAGGGAGGCACAGGGGGCTGTCACTGTCTCCGGTCACACTCCTCCCACCATGGCTGAGTGAGGGCCAGCCCACTCCCGACCCCTCCAGACCTGGTTCTTCATGTGTGGGGGGTTCTTGAGGGTCCTGGGAACTATGAGACTCACTCCCCTTTACCCATCTCCCCACAGCCTCCCCATGGAGCGTATATCCTGCTCACAGCCTTCCCGGCAGGGGTCCCTCCTGGGCAGGGGCCTCCCCAGATGGATGGCCAGACGGTGGCCCACCCTCCCGCCCCAGCTAGCCTCTGCTCTCCACATACTTGGGTGGAAAGTCAATTCAGGAACCAGCTGGGCTCCCCTCGCCCCCTCCTGTGCCACAGAGCCCCAGCCCCAGCACCAGGGGTTGGGGAAAACACAAAGTGACTTCAGACTGCTCCTCTGACCATTGCTCTGTGGGCCTCCGGGTCTAGCCGTTCCCCACGGGCCTGCGGGCAGGGTCTCCTGCGCTTCTCTGTCAGCCTGGTACAGCGGGGCTCTGCCCAGAAGGTCAGAAACAAGGAAGGCAGCTCTCAGGTTGCAACTGGGTCCTGTGACATGGCTCCCAGCACACGTGGACACCAGCAGCGGGCAGATCCCCAGCCCCCTCCAGGCCCTTCTCCTGCCCTGGCATCAAGTCCCCCGATGCTGGGGTTGGTTTCCCACACATGGAGCTGCGTGAGTTCAGAGGCTGGTGGACATGAAATGGGCTGTTTCCTCCTCGGTGCCCAGAGCCCTGACTACTCATAGACCCCTGGCCAAGAGCTGGAGGGCCTCGTCACCTCCCCTGCCACTGTGCCCAGCCTGGGCCCTCTCTTGGCCAGGGAAGCAACATACAGACACCTCGGGGCGGTGTGCTGTGAGTACTGCACCTGTTCTGCTCCGCCAGGCCTCACTGCCCGTACTGTGCACCCCTGATCCTCACCCCAGCTCACAGACAAGGAAATGGGGCCTTCCCTCTCTGGGACACAAAGCCGGGAGGAGGCAGAGCCCAAGTCTGTCTAGTTCCGAAGCCTGTGCGCAGAGCTCCTGGGTCTGTGGCCTCGTTTGTGCCTGCCGCACAGACAGCACAGCTCCTCACCCACCTGAGCACCTGCTGCCCACCTGCTCCGTCCTCTCTCTGGGCCTCCTGTGCCGGGTGATTTGGCCTGAGCTGTGCGGGGATCTCCCAGCCAGCCAGCCACAGGTCCCTGGGGCACAACAGGCTCATCAAATCCAAACACATTTATTCCTCAGGCACTCACACTAGAAAACAGTGACAGAGAGCACTCTTCCCGGGAAGGGGACTCATCGAGATGCTGAGCCCACGCACGACTTCCTCACCTGGGCGCTGGAAGGCCTCTTCCCAGCCTGTCCCCGCTCAGCCTGCCGAGCTCGGGCCCCAAACCCCAGGCCCTGCAGTGTCTCTGCCACGTGCTTCTGCCCGGGGGACACACAGAGGATCACCAGGAGCTTCGCATCACCCCCTTAAATAAAAGGAACCAGATGTGAGCTGAGTAGGAGTCATGACAAATGGCATCCATATGTCCCAAAGCAACTGGACGGGTCCAGCTGCCTACACAAAGTCCACAGGCACTTGGAGCAGAGTGCGGTCCCCACAGAGGTGGCAGGTACAGGCCCTGAGGCTGCACCCAGTGCCCTCACCCCACTCAGCAGAGCTGCAGCTCCCAAGCTTGGGGCCCATGGAGCAGGTGGCCCTGCTGCTGCTGAGTCCAGCGTGGTGGAGGGAGAAGTTCGAGGCCTTCCCCAAGAGCCAGCTGGGTGGCGAGGGGTGCACCTCTGAAGGCGCACACCGACCAGCCCTACCCAAGACTGTGGAGAGCACAAGTGCAGTTGCCACCAAGTGCCAGGGACGTTGGAGAGGGACCTCCCAAAAGCCCAGCAGACTTGGGTGGGCCCAAGGACAATCTGGGCCAGGGACAGCTCCCCCAGGTGGAGCTCACAGTGTTCTCTATTCTGGGTTCATCCGAGGGGGACGAACCGATGGTGTCCTGGAGCAGGTGGGTAAGCTTGCTGTTCCGATAAGGCACGTGGCCACGGCGCTCCGACAGGGCACCCAGGACATCTGCCAGGGCTGCGAGGCTCCGGTTGATGAACGAGGTCTCCCTTAGTGCCAGGCCAGTCACCCCAGATGCACCTGCAAAGCACAGAAGCCCCCTCAGCCACCCTGCGCTTCAGCAAGGCCCAGGAGTAAGGAGGCTCCTGGGCGGAGGGCCTCTGGGCAGCTCCTGTTTCCCGGGAGTCCTTCCAGTGGACTCTGCCATCGCGCCACCAGAGCTGCTCCTGGCAACTGAGGAGGAAGAACGTGACCTCTGACTGCCCTGGGGGGACCTCCGATGGCCAGATGTGACAGGGCTTCCAGTCACCTGAGCAGAGATGCCAGGCTCAGAGCTTCCTGGTGGCCGGTCACAGCCTGGCTGTGGGCACCCCCAGGTGCGGGCTTCTTCCCGCTGCCTGTCTACCCAGCTGGCCGCCAGCTCCTGCTCACCTGCACACTCACTGCCGGCCAGGTCCACCAGCTGCAGCTTGGCCCGCGCTTGCCTCGCAGAACCCGAGTGGTCCACAGGAAGGGGCTGGAGAGGCGGAGCCTGGGGAGAGGTGCTCCACCCCTTCCCTGCCCCAGCGAGACCCTGCAGGGGGGCTGGATGATGCTGCTGGCCTGGAAGGGAGGACAGAGGACAGACGGGCAGGGAGTCAGTGCAGAGGCCTCTCGCAGCTCCACCCTCCAAGCCTCACCCACCAGCGAGAAGCTGGTTCTGCTTCTCTCTTCCTCTTAGAAACAAACTGGGCAGAGGGACAGTCGGTAGGTTCTGTAGGGGACTATAACAAGAAAAGGAAGCGGGTAGCATGCTTCACATTGGGAAGTCGAACGAACGCCCAGTCCATCCCAAGAAAACTAAATAATGCTTCCTAGAAGTCCGGGTGACGATGGTGACTGGAACCCCGGGAAACCCACGCCCTCCTGGAAATCCATCCATCAGCTTCACAGAGGCCCGAGGAAGTGCTGTTTCCTTGGGTGTGAAGTCTCGCCAAGTTCCTGAACAGACTCCACGAGACCCTCATCGCACAACACAGGAAACAGAGACTTTCGTAGGAGAGCCCAGAACCCCTGCTCAGAGGCACCTCTGCGTCTGTGTCTTGTGGAGCACTCACAGGATCAGCAGAGCTCCCTACATATCAGGTGCCTGGCGCTACCTGGGCCCTACCTGAGCCCAGTCCTGTGCAGGGCAGTAGCTGTGCTGGCTGGTGGAGTGGCTCCAGGAGGGAGTATGCTGCCCCCCACCCTCCCTTGTCCGGGGACCACAGTGTGGAGTGTCATTGTGACAAGACGCACCACATCTGTCTACACTGGCCTTCAGGACGCACCACATCTGTCTACACTGGCCTTCCAGGCAAGGAGGAAATGAGCTGGGCAGGTCAGCAGGGCTTCCCTGGGGCTGCGTGGGGGGCGGGGCCAGAGCGGGCTCTGCAGGACACACCTTCTGCACTGTGGACTTCCACACGCTACGCGCTCTGTGGGGCCTAGCCTAGCCTTGCCTCCTGGCGCCCTGCTGTGCACCTGTGCACAGGCACGTGTGGGCCTCTGTGGCTGGAGTCCAGGAGCTCTGCTCTGGACGCCATGGGCCTCTGTGGCATGACACGGCCTTCTGACAAGCCGGGCTTTGTTCTCTCTCCCACTGGGCCCCCAGGTGCCACATGCCCGGTTGCCCATGTCCCTAGCAGATGCTTCCTCCCGCCACCTCCCTCTCTCTCCCCAGCCTGGGTCCTAGGGCCTCCTGTGTTCAGGTCCCAGATCCCAGGTCGTTGGAGGGTGTGGCTGCAATTCCTGCTCCAGAACCCGCGGTGACGCTGGGATTTTTCCTCTTGGTGGATTTCTATTGCTTGAACTGACCCAGCGCCAATTGCAGCTCACCAGTGCTGTCTGAGGGGGACACCACGGTCAGAGTCACCGTCACCACCAGGTGGGATCTGGAAGAAGCCATGTGCACCAAGGTGGGGTGCCTCGCTCTGAGCTGCAGACCTCCGTGGACAAGTGCCACCAGCTCTGCGGCGCTGGCGACGGCCCTGGCGGGGGAGAAGTGTTAGGGCGCACCCAAGGGCAGGTAGCAAACATCACCAGGCTGACCCCAGGTCAACACAGCGTGCCACTGCTAACAGACACGGCTCCCAGACATGGGTATGGCAATTCCAGAGGAGTCTGCAGCTGATTTAGGCAAAACAGAACATAAGCAATTAAAAATGACCAGTGGTTTCACCAAATCCAAGGTCAGTAACCCCCAGTTCCCATCTTCCTCCGTCCATTTCGCCCTCACGGACCCACGTTTTTAGAATATTCTATCAAATTAAATTCAGGCGATAAGAGCCCTCGTCAGCGGATGGGGGCTGCTGCTCAGGCTCCGCAGGGGAGGGCTGCATTTTGATCACAGTCCGTCAGCCAACAGCTGAGAGTCTGGGTCACTTCTGCAAACATGTCACCACCAAATGCCTGGCACCTCAGGCTTCTGGAAACAGGACCAGCAGCCGCACAGCCTTCTCTGGCTGAGTCTGAGTCCCCGGCTGGGCAGCCCCGCCGTGGCCTCAGGCGGGAATTCCTCCTGTCCCTCCCTAGTGGTGGGTCAGCTGCTGACCCACACAGGGCTTTCACAGGAGTAACCTGAGAACCCAGGCCATGTGAGGCGTCCACATTCACAAGACGCTGCGTCACTGCGCTCTATAAAATGCTGATGTTCTAGTGAGGAAGTTCACTGTCCTCGACTGACCGTGGGCAGTGAGGTCACTTCGTCCACTTTTCCTCTCCTTCAAGGTGGGGTTCGGGAGGATGGAAGACTCAGGCACAGGTGGACAGGGGAGTACAGAAGGATGGGGGCTGCGGCTTCACCCCAAGATGCCCACGAGCCCCTGCACTCCGGCCTGTGCCCCAGGTCTGAGTCTTAAGCAGCCCAGGGCCTCAGAGTGTCGGGGCCCAGGGAGCCGGCCCCACACATTGCTGGCTTGCACAATCTATGTCTTTAGACTAAATAAAGCCAAGGGAAAAATGTTGCTAGTGGCTTATGAGGTGGGAATGTTGCAAAAGTCATCTATAAAGGCCCAACAATGTCCGCCTGGGGATCCTGAGGAGAACCAGGCCCCGCCCTGAGCTCCCAGATTCAAGGAGCCTCGCTCCCTGGTCATGTCTCCTTTAAGAGACGAGCCCAGGCCCATTTCACTCCTGAGATGGCCTGCGCTCCGTCCCTCCAGTGAGCGCCCCTTGCCTCCTAAAGGAATCTCTGCCATGCCTCTTCCCGACAGGTCCCCAAATTCTTTTTCTGCAACCTGTGTCAAGAGCCAAGGAAAGCTGAGTTGAGGTCCCTGTCTCCCTCCTGGGCCCCCTTTGGTGACAAGACGACACCCACCCCGTGGGCTCTGATGAAGACTTTTAAAGACACATTTCTTCATATATTTTAAAAGCCTTTCTTCTATTTCTTTCTCTTGTGCTGAGGACTGAACCCAGGGCCCTACATGCACAGGCTGCCATTCCACCACCCGGCTCCACCCCTTCTTCATTTCAACAGCTTTATTAACATATTATCAACATACAGAAATCATTGAACACCTTGATGTTTTGACAGACTTACACCTCGTGACACAGTCACAGCATTCCAGCTAATTAACACATCTGTCCCCCCTGCACAGTTCCCAGTGAAAAAGGTCACTTTGGGCTGGCCGTGTACCTCAGTGGTGGAGCACTTGCCTGGCACACATAAGGCCCTGGGCTTGCTTGATCCCCAGCACCATGAGAGAGAAGGAAGGAAGGA